AACTCAAATGGTTAAGACATATATTTCTGATTATTAGGTCATGAGTTTGTGTAATGGTTGTAACATTGGATTATTTATTACATGCTATACTTGTAAAAAATTTAATAAAAGCATTTATAATTTTCTATTTATAGGTGGGTAAGTTTGCTTACATTTGGAGGTTGGCAGACATGGGCTTGAATGGTTATGTAAAATTACCCTCAAAAGAAGGATTTTTTAAAATATGATAAGTTTTAGATGAAAATAATTTGGCCAATATTTTAGAATTAGAATAAATTTAGGCCTAGCATAATGAGTTTGCCCTGAGAGGTGTAATCCAAATATATATGATATTTATGCATTATTATAGTCAAATTTAGGCATCTAATTTTTAAACGGTGAAATAACCAATCTGCCCTCTTTAATTGATATATTAAAAGTAATAACATTGTACCGAAATTCATTTTCAAAGTGGCTTGAGAAAACGAAATTTATCGTCACAAGTAATATAAAAGTAAGTAAAATATCGTCTCCAGGAAATGAATGATTACTAATTACCAAAATTTCCACTTCAATTTTATCTGAATATCGAACGTTTAATAGTGGTGAAATGAAGTAATTTTAAAAGAAACTAGTTCAATAACAAAAGAAAATATCACAACTATAAAGAATCAATAGTAAATTCAAGCCCATTAAACTCTAGAATATGAATTTACCGAAATTGCCCTTTAACTCATCCTACTACTTTATTCAAAACTTTTCTAAACAATGGTTGTTGGCGGATTCTACACTATTGACTCGATAATCTTTCTCAAGCAATAACGATTTTCTTCGAAAAGTAGAGTATTTATATCTCTATGACTACTCCGATGATTCAAATAATTAAGCACATAGAACCCAAAAACTATGCCACAAAATTCACAAGAATATCTCTATCTCTTGGTTTAATTTTAGGAGAACTATTCAAATCTAGTCAATAATCTTGTTTCTCAACCTTGATTTATGACAATGAATCAATGTAAAGAATGATCAAATCTCAACAATGCATTAAGAATATAAAAAGTTATCAGAACCAACAAGTTTAGAAAGAAAATCAAATAAATAACATAGAAGGGTCAAGTTCGATAAAGGCTAAATCAATGCCCTAGAAAATGTATCTAGTTCATGCTTGAATCCACAAAGAAAATCTCAATCAACATCAGTGAAGGAAGTTGAAGCTAAAGGAGAGAAAAAAGAAGGGAAAGAAAACAAATCTGGTGATCTCTCGAGCCTCCTTTCTTCGCGTTCCTTCCAATCTTCTCAAAATCCCCTCTTTTCTCTCTAAAAAGACGTTCTGCTTCCCTGTTTTTCCT